CCCAAACCACATATTTGTGTTGTACACACATGGGAGGATCCTAATATCATATGGCCGGCCAGAAATTCCATTTGACCCTTTTGAACCCCTCTTAAAAATGGCTTGTTCTCTCTCCTGTTTCAGAGTTGCCAATTTTGAACCACATGGTTGTGATGAGGAGACATGGGAGGACATCCTTATGTGGTGGCCGGCCACTAACTCAACTTGACCTTTTTGACCCCTAGCCGGCCGGCTAGGGGAGGTGGCCGGCCGGCCACCTGCAAGTCCAAAAATCAGCCGGCCTTGATCCATGCAACAGGCACTTTACAGTTGTATAGCTGTATTCCCCAGAAAATATCTCAATCCGGGGGATATTTTTTGGGGGAAAACTTGCCTCCTTTTCCCACACCTTTACTCCTTTTTTTTTGGTCCATATAACCAGCAGGCAACATTGGTGAGAAGGGTTATAAAAATTGGTCTTCAAGCCTTGATACACAAATCTCCCTCCATCTCTTACAAAACTCCCTCTCCATCTCCCTCATTTCCTTGAAAACCTTCAAGTTCTACACTACCATTTCTTCTACACCACCAAGCTCTACCACCACCACTCCAATCCAGCAGCAAGGGGAGGAATTCTAACAGCTAAGAGGCAACAAATTTGGTCCAAGAAGCAACAAAAGAATTGGTCTTCAAGGGTGAGTTGCAATTTTCCCTTTTTGACCCATTTCTTGTATCTTTTGCAAGCCATACATGATTATTGTTTTGAGCTCCGACCAAAACTGAAAAGGTTATTTTTTTGAGCTCATTTTCTTATTTCATTGAGGGCTCAACCCTGTTTGAGCCCCCCATCTTGCACTTGCTTCAATATCTTCCTTGAATGCTATTTTCTTGCATGCTTTGGCAGCCCATTATGCTTCCATTTTTGGGCATTTTACAGAACTAAAAATAGTCTTATTTTGATCCCATCTTCAACATTGAAGAAGGGCTCATCAGGGCAGCCCATTATGCTTCCATTTTTGGTCATTTTACAGAACTGAAAACAGTCTTATTTTGGCCAATTCTTCATGTTTCATTAAGGGCCTTTGGATTTTTGATGGATATTTAGTATACTTTGTGCTTTGGCCATCTTTTGGCCCATTTCTTGCATGAAAGTTTAGCTATACTTGTGCTAGTTTTTGTGGTTTTCCATAAACTGTAAAAGATCATATTTTTGGCCCCTCTTCAATATTGTAGAAGGCCCCTAATCTGTTTGCGGTCAGCAGCTGTGAGTTGCTTCATTATCTCATATTTAGGGCCATTTTTGCATGCTATTTTTGCCTTATTTGTGTTTGCTGTTTGGCCATGATTTGTACTGGTAAAATGCTTATTTTGGGGTTGCCTTGCTTCTGTATTTTCATTCTATGTACCAATTATGCATGCTTTGTATAGCTGTAGTTCATTCTATGTGCCTAATTTTGCATTTCGGGAGAGATTCCATGCATCGGGTGTGCTTTCGCCTCGTTTCGGGGCTGTTTTCCCCCACATTTCAGTGCTGAAATTCTATTAGCATGTTTGCATATCATTTTCCATGCCATATTACATTGCGTATGCCATTGCCTCGGTTTGCGTGCCCGTGTGCACGCATTTCGAGGCACTTTATTTTCATCCATCAGCCTCTTATGTGAGTGTGGCTGAGGCTCTCATGTTAGTATAAGTCCATGTTGCATCCTATATGCCATTCCATGCCATATTGCATTACGTATGCCATTGTCTCGGTTTGCGTGCCCGTGTGCACGCATTTCGAGGCACTTCATTTTCATCCATCGGCCTCTTATGTGAGTGTGGCTGAGGCTCTCTCATGTTAGTGTAAGCCCATATCATATTTCCATGTCATTTGCATTGCGTATGTCATTTTCTCGATTTGCGTGCCCATGTGCACGCATTTCGAGGCATCTCATTTTCACAGCATAGTGCATACTAGGTTGTATCTTAGATCGCATTTATGTATTTCGTCGGTTTGCGTGCCCGTGTGCATGCATTTCGAGACATCTCATTTTCATAGCATTGTACATGCTAGGTTGTATCTTAGTTGCATTCATGCATATCATGCATATTGCATCGTGTTCGGGATAGGAGTTAGCCCGGGCACGGGAAACGAGGTGCGTTTCGTACTCCGTGTGACGGAACGTGTCTCCATCCCCAATCACCGACACTCCAGATTATCCATGATGGAGTTAGGTTCTTGTTGTGTTTATACGTGCATTCATTCTATATTAAGTTGCACATTTCGACTCCTCTGCCATCATGCATCGATATGCGTGATTGGTGGCACGAGGATCGAGGCATGCATATATCTGTGAAAATACATTGCCATACCCTTTTCCTGTTCTCTGTTGCAGCAAAATGAACAATCAATAACTTTTCGGAGCTCAGCACGCTTTCCAAGAATAACTGCTAAACAGAGGCTAATTAGGGCATCCCGGTGGATTTCCGTGCAAAGGCAACCCGGACATGCATTATTCATCATCTGAAGAAGAATCAAGGCAGTCCCTGGCTTGCAAG